TTCTGTCCCAGTTATGAGCCCCAGCTCTGTTAAAGCACCTCAGTCCTGGCTCTTTGGTAAGCACAGACTGTGAATTATGCCCTGCTGTGTGGGAATGGGTGGATGTGGGCTCACGTTTTGATTACTTGCTATTGATCATTTTGCTTTGGCGTGATTCTAGGTGCAGAATCGGACAGCACAATGCCAGAACCGTAAGTAGCAGAACTTCCCGTTGCCTTTTGCTGAACTCCCCTAAGCTTCAGGCTTCTCCGGAGAGCTGTGGGCGAGACCCGACGCTACTTCGACCAACAGCAGGGTTTGAATGCAAACCATTGACTAGGTGGAGCAACTCAAAGCAGTCGCAGAATGATAACAGCCTTCTGTGGATCGGCCGCTAGAGGGAGGCAGATTTCCAGGCTGTGCTACCACAACAGGAAAATCTCATGCTTGCTATGGCTTTTTGTGAAAATGGTTCAATGCGGGGGGGGACAACACTTGTGAAATGTTGAGATCTTTGCTCACAGAGCAGCTCGAGTTTTGGTGCAATGCCATCCTGTTACACTCAGAAATGGTCCCATTTCCAACCCCCAGCATTTCCACATTTTTCCAATTTTGAATTTCCACATGCCATATCCAAAACTTCATCGCAGCAAAGAGCAGTTACCCAAATTGCAAAATGTCCACACACAAGGAATTTCCATGCGCTTTGGTGCAATATTTGGATCTGTCAATTTGCTGAAAGCAGCAACTATCTTCACACTGCCACACGCTTCCCAGCTGCTAGCACCAGGAATCTGAATAGGGAGCCAGATTCAGCCCTTGAGTACTGAAACTGCACGTGTATTCACACAGGCTGGCACTGATACACACAGCTCAGATAATGGCATGTATTCGTACATGAACTATGTGTGATCTAGTGATTAGAGAAGTGCCTTACTAGAAGTCAGGTCTTATCCCACCACTCTGCCCACTGAGTTGCAGTGTAATTTTGAGCAAGTTATTTAACTGCCCCGTGCCTCAGTTTCCCTACATGTAAAATGGCTCTAATGTCACCTACCTTATGTGGTTTGCTTAATTAATACCTATGATTGCTGTGAGTTCCTTGAATTAAAGTCTTCATACACATGCAGACCTTTACCATCACTTTACAATTCTACTAATAATGCATATTTACTGCCTTAATATCTAAGAGTTGGATCTTCAACTGATGTAAACTGGTGTAGCTCCATCAACTTACACCTACTGAGGATCTGGTCCAAAGAAACACTTCCGGTCTGTGGCACATTTTGCATGCAGTAGTGAAGAGTCCATCTGTGACCTCCAGGTGTTTCGTGCATTCTGTCTGTTGATCATTTATTCTGTTTTTTCCCCTCTTTATTTCATCTGTCTGAATGAACAACTTCAGGGAGGTAAGTGCTCCTGGATTCCCCCCCCCCCAATAGAGCTGGACATTAACGTGCATTTTCTGTAATGAGTTTGCATTTAAAATGTCTTTTCTTTTGTCCTTTCCCTCCACAGAGAAAGTCCAAGATCACAGCCTCGCGCAAACTCATGTTGAAGGTGAGTCCCTTTGGGTCTATTCCAGCTGAGATAGCAAGTCAGGGTTAAAAGCATCGGTGCGGAAACATAGTATGAACATTTCCATGGCTAGCCAAAGGGGTTATGGAAAGAAAAACTCAGCTTTCCACTGGCTACAGGTAGATCCTGGGTCTCTGAAGAAGTCAGCCCTGTTCCCACCTCCATGATCCCTAGAACCTGTAACACTCCCTCAGCTGCTCAGAACTTCATAGCTGGAAATGTAACACCCGCCTGTCCCCCAAGTTATCAGCATGGATTGAACCTGGGACCTTCAGCACTAAAAACACAGGCATATATAACACCTATGGTGCAGAAGTAATTCCATCAGTACCAGTAGGTTGTTAGCTGCTGGCAGAGAGGGGCATGTTTAGCCAGTGTGTCACATATATAGGCTTGGCAGAATTTGATTTTTATCTCTCTATAATTTTTTAAGCATTTTTTGTTTTGTTTTGATCAATTTAAATGGTCACAGTGGCCGGAAATTGTAGGGGTGTCAGAAAATAGGGAGGGGCTCTGACAGTAATCATAGAATCATAGAATATCTGGGTTGGAAGGGACCTCAGGAGGTCATCTAGTCCAACCCCCTGCTCAAAGCAGGACCAATCCCCAACTAAATCATCCCAGCCAGGGCTTTGTCAAGCCTGATCTTAAAAACCTCTGATTTAAGGATAGTAGACACTTGAGATTCAAAAAGGTCAAGTTTTCTAACTGTTGTTAAAACACAAATTTGTCAACGTCGCATCAAAATATATGAAGTAAATTGCCTAAAACCACCCTCCAATAAGCTCTCAAGCAGCCTCTGTCTGACTTTGCCGAGCTGTAAAACTTCGAGGATTATCGCTGGAAATATTTTCTGCCGGTCTGTGAGTGTGCAGTGAAATCGACATTTACCAGTAAAAATCGAATCCGTCCAAGCTGACACGTACGCAGGGACACACACTGAATTTCCGGAACAAGGTGCATTAAATATACAATTGGGTGGCAGATGCTGCTGCCTACATCCTTGGTTAATAATAATAATTAATACTAATAATTTGTTTAGTGCCAACTGTGCATTAGGCACCTCACAGGCAGGACATGGTGCTGGGGAAACATTTTTGCTTAAGGGGAAAACACATGCACGCAGAGAGCCCGGTGATGCCAATGTCAGTCAGGAGTCATAGCTCCATGGAAAGCAAGGACGTCTCTGAATCAGACACAGATTCTGCAGCCTCTCACCCTCCTTCCTGCAGCTCCCCCCACGCCCAGTTTATCACACACCATGGGGAAATGCTTTTAGTTGTACCAGCGCCAGCACATCACCCTGCTGGGCTGAGGACAAGCCCCTGAAGACCCTTCCATATGGGTTTGAGGAACATGCAGGGTCTCTGTCCCTCACCACAAATGCACTGAGCTCAATATCTCTGTGCGCTTCGGTAGCTCCCTGCCTTGTGCCCCTGGCCTGAGGTGATGGCTTGGGGAGGGGGCTCAGGGCACAGTGCATCTGCTCAGGCTGTCGTTGTCTGCTGTGTGCTCTAGAGTTTGATGCTAGCCAAAGCCAAGGAAGCATGGGAACAAGATCAAGTGGACAAGCAAGGGGAAAAGGAGAGATACCTGGCTGAGCGGATCACACCGCTGCGGACCAGTGGGCTGTCCTTCAGCCAGCTGCAGGTAGGCTCGAGTGCGAGTCAGGAGGGCCACCGGGGACCTGCGCAGGGGTCTGACAACAGCTCAGATCTCCACCCTGTTCGTTATGGCTGAGGCAGGGCCCCTCTTGTCACTCGTGAATGGGTCCCTCTGGGCAGGGTCCAGAAGCTCTGGAAGGTGAACCGGAGTGTCCAGCATGTACTGCGGTAGAGAGTAAAGGTGGTTTCCCAGGGAACTCAGTCAGGGACATGCTGGCCGCTGGGATTTCAGGGCTGGTGACTGATGGAGACTCACCACCCCCTTTAGGGAGCCCCATGAACATGCTGCCTGCTAAAGGCCTAGCTCTTAACATGGTACCTGCTGCAGCAAGACAGGGCCACTGCTGGGAGGCTCAGCGGATGGAGCAGTGAAAAGAGCTCCCAGCTTGGCCTTTGTGACCCCTCCTTGCAGGATCTGTGCAGGGAGCTGCACGAGAAGGTAGAAATCGTGGATGAGGAGCGGTACGACATCGAAGCCAAATGCATCCACAACACCAGAGAGGTAGGAGGGGGCCTTTTGCATTGGCCTGCAGTTTATTTCTTAATTAACTGGTTATTTGATTTGATACCTGCTATGCACCTCACCTAGGTTATTAGGGTTATTTACATTATGGTCACACCTAGAGGTCCCCAAACCAAGTAGGGTTGCCAGGTGTCCGGTTTTCGACTGGAACACCCGGTCAAAAAGGGACCCTGGCGGCTCTGGTCTGCACCACTGACCGAGCCGTTAAACGTCCAGTCGGCGGCGCAGTGGGGCTAAGGCAGGCTCCCTGCCTGCTGTGGCTCTTCATGGCTCCCGGAAGCAGCGGCATGTCCCCACTCCGGCTTCTAGGCGCAGGGGCAGCCAGGGGGCTCTGCACGCTGCCCCCATCCCTAGCACCAACTCTGCAGCTCCTATTGGCCGGGAACTCTGCTCCAGCCTGGTGAAAATGAGCGAGTGAGTGAGGGTGGGGAGAGCGAGCGACAGAGGGAGGGAAGTGTGTGGAGTGAGCGGGGGCAGGGCCCCAGAGAAGCATGGACAAGGCTTCTGAGGAGGAGCGGGGCAGGAGGTGTGGCAAGGGTGTTTGGTTTTGTGTAAGTAGAAAGTTGGCAACCCTAAAACCAAGACCGGGGACCCATGGTGCCAGGCGCTGCCCAGATACCTGTCCCAAAGAGCTCACAGCCTAAATGGACAAGGTGGACACAGGGCAGGATGGGAAACTGAGGCATGGAGAGGGGACGCGTCAGGTGTCTAGAGCTGGAAACAGATCTCAGGCCTCCACGGCCCCATCCACCAGACCATGCCACCTCCTGCTGCTGTCTGATCATTGAAAAATTCACACCTGGGTAGTTTAGTGGGAAACGGGCCGCCTGCAAGGCTCGCCCAGCCCATCCAAGCGAAAGCCATTTGGCCAGATTACCAGCAGTAGCCACTGGCTCTGGATGGCTCCACCCTGGGGCCATCCAGCCAGAGGCACCCCGGTCTTGTGTTTCAGAGGCATGTCGTCCTCTCTGCTCTCCTTCACCAGCTGCTCAGCACTTCGTGGGGGTGCCATGATGGCTGGAAGCCAACATGTGCAGCAGCCCAGCTGGTGCCCATCCGTCAGGGGCTCTGATGGCCAGCCGCTCACTGGTGCACGGGCGCTGTCTCTGAAGTGCTGGGACTGCTATTGGAGTCTGAGGTGCAGACGCAGCAGCCCCTGCATGGGACTCTGAGCCATTATCACTGCGAGTGATGTCTGGAGCTGGGAGAAGGGACATGGCTTGGGCTTCGGGTTAATGTTTCATTTGGGGTTAGGACTGGGTGCCCTGTGGGAGAATCACCCCTGGGTGTGGTCCCGGTCAGGATGGGTGGCCTGTGAGGATCCTGGCACCCCCAGCGGATGGGGGAGCTCGCTACCCTGGTGCCAGGAGCAGGCAGAGGTGCTCACTGCAGGTTGGCTTGAAGCAGGATCGGGGGCCTCCCCCCCCGCAATGCAGCTGTTTCTACTGCCCCCCGCCCCAGCCTGGCGACTCCTCCTTTTTTCCCTCATCCCACAGATCAAAAACTTGAAGCTGAAAGTGCTCGACCTGCGGGGGAAGTTCAAGCGCCCCCCACTGCGCCGTGTCCGCGTCTCCGCTGACGCCATGCTGCGGGCCCTGCTCGGCTCCAAGCACAAAGTCTCCATGGACCTGAGAGCCAACCTGAAATCTGTCAAGAAGGAGGACACAGAGAAGGTGGGTGGGGAAATTCACCCCTGTGCAAAGGGTCCACACGAGGCTGATGTGGGACTTGACCTGGGGCACGTGCCTTGTGTTGGGCCCTTTGGACAGGGGGTGCATTTAGCTCCAGGGCCCAATTCTGCTCACACATATGCTGATGTAACTCTGGAGTATCTCCATGGATTTCACTTCCCACAGCAGCTCTCTTGCTTTGAACGAGGCCTCCTGGGATTTTACTGCCTGGAGGCACTTGCATGCAGCTGGGGTAGCTCCCCGGAGCTCCATGTGGGTACTCCTGATTTACACGGGGGTAAATGGACAGAGAGCCAGGCCTGGGGTTTGTATATTGGATCAGACTCCTAGTCCAGCGCCCACCCTATGGCAGAGGCCAATACACGATACACCAGAGACAGGAAACCAACCCACGCTGCACCTGGCCAATCGCGCAGTATTGCACAGGGAGGATCTATTCCCCTCCTGACTCCTGTGGCGATCGGCTTATGCCCTGAAGCAGGAGGTTTGGTGATTCCTGATCCTTGTCTGTCTCATTATTATTGCTCATAAGATCATCCAGTCCTTTTAACTCCCGCCGCGGACGAGCTCCTGCCGTGCCATCTGCACTGCGGGGGAAGGAACATACACGTAGGGTCTGGTCCTGCAGAGGACAGGGCTGCTCACACATGGCGCCACATGCCCTCACCTCCCAGTTGAGGGGCTCTGTACATAGCAGGATCGGGGCCCTTTCTCGCTGCTTTCCCAGCTGTCTCCATCTATACTGACTCTAGGGGGCATCCTGGGGTTTTAAAACCATAGACAGCCCCCCCACTCCACCTCCCAGAGCTATAATTCAGCTTCACACAGAGCAGCTCCAGGGACACAATGGTCCCTAATTGATTCACAGGGAAAAGGGATCTCTTGAAATATCTCTTTTCTTCCTCCCCCCGCCCCCGTGCTGCCTTTGCCACAGCTGTCAAGGGCCCCAAACATACAGGTTATTTAGTATAGGGTTATTGGAGACACATGTCCACGTCTGTCTGTCTGTCTGTCTGTGTAATAACACGGCAGGTCACCCCGGAGCTCCACTGGGGCAAGTGCAGTGGGATCAGGGGGAGATGCCATGGGCGAGGTTCAGGGGTGAAAGTAACTTAAAGGACAGTACACCGGAGTCCTGAGAGGGGGTGTGGCCTCAACCGGAAGAGGCGGGACCTTTCAAGATTTAGAGGCCCTGGGGCTCCGACTGTGGCTGGGAGCCCCAGGGCCTTTAAATTACCCTGGAGCTACCAGCTGCAGCGGTGGCTGGGAGCCCCGGAGCTCCGGTGGGGATTTAACGGGCCCAGGGCTCCCCGTAGTGGCTGGAGCTCTGGGCCTTTTAAATTCCCGCCTGAGCCCGGCTGCTGGAGCTCCAGCGGCACTTTAAAGGGCCTGGGGCTCCCCGCAGCGGCAGGAGCCCTGGACCCTTTAAATCCCCGCTGCGGAAGCCGGTCCAGTCCGGCATGGCGTACTGGCTCTTGCCGGTACGCCGTACCGGACCGGACTGGCTTACTTTCACCTCTGGCAAGGTTGCACCTGGAGTCACCGCTGTAATGGTTGTTCTGGGTGTGGGGGGATGTGGCGCATTGGAAGGCCCATGGGATTTAAATACACTCAGGCACGGAGCAGCTTATGAGTCAGCCAGGATGGAAATAAAGGACAAAATAAACCTTCCATCATATGGAGTCATACATGCATGAACCCATGCTTCCCTTCCCTGCATCCACCCATGAAAACACCCTCTCCCGTACACTCATGCACCCCCCCGCCATTCATACATGGCATATGTATGCACGAACCTAGCCAGCCAAACCCCTGCGTGTACACACACACACACGTATGTGCACGGACACACCCACACATGCAAAGTCTGTTACCCACCCTCTGTCTCTTGCTGAGCGCTGCTCAGATGCGCCATCCCAAGGCTCCCTGGGCTCTGTGCTGCCAGGACCCCTGACCCCTGTGTCTCCCTGTAGGAGCGCCCTGTGGAAGTGGGCGACTGGCGTAAGAATGTGGAGGCCATGTCGGGCATGGAAGGCAGGAAGAAGATGTTTGATGCTGCCAAATCTCCAACAGGCCAGTGAAAGGTACTGTGTTCTGCCCACTCCTCCCTTTGTCCCGACAGCCCCTTCCCTCGATCCCTGAAACCCCTTTACATGAAGCAGGACACAGTCAGCGTCTGTGAATCACCCTCTCAGTCCAGGTGTCTGTATCACACACCGGCCTGGGGCCCATTCCCTCTGGAGCCCCTTGACTGGTCAATGACCCAGTGCCGCCAGCTGGCAAATTACAGCGTTCTGGGTTTGCATACGCTGCAGGAGGATCTGAATTATGGCAGCTTGTGCCCTATGAGCCTCAGTGCCAGGCCCCTGCCTCCTTTCGCGAAGCATTTTGAGGGCTGTGCTCCAAGACGAGCCAGCACCTCCTGCCTGCGCACGTGTTGGTGCTGCCCAGCGCCTCGCTGGTTGCTGGCTGCAGAGACGCCGCGCTCTGCCTTGACTCGCTCTTTGGCGGGGCCCGGTCCTGTAAACAGGAGATGGGATTTCAGGGGAGCTGTTCTGTTCTCTTTGTCTTGTGGTGACTTGCTCGGATTTCTCTTTACTCACTTGTTCCTCACTGAGCGCTGCTGGCTCCGGTGCGCTGGTGCTCCCTCCCCACCAGCGCGCAGCCTCTCGCCCGTTCCTTCGCGCTGTATGAAGCTTGCGTTCCAATTCCTAGGTGCTGCCTGGAAGGACGAAGAGTCACCCTCTCCCACTGCCTGCAGCTTCGCCCCCAGCCGCCCCTTCATGCTGCCCGGTTTGTGCCTCTTCCTGCATTCGCTCTCGAGCCAGCGCAGTTGCGGAAAGCTCTTTGTGAAAGCTCATCCAGTCTCTGTGTTAAATCAGCCTCCTTCCTCCCCCTGGTTTCCATGAGCCATAGCCTCACGTGACGCAGCCAATTAATCGCCCCAACGTGGCACCCCAGCAGTGGGCTACCATTGTCTCCTGTAGGTCCCGGCGCATGGGACCAACCCATTGGACTGCCACCGTGGTGCACCTGCATGACGACCGATCACCATTGTGTCCTGAGGTGCTGATCCCATTAACTGGCAAGGGCGAGAGCCTTGCCAGCCACCCTGCAGGAGTCCCGTGCCCTGCGGAAAGGCAGTGCCCCGCCACACGCCAGTGGCTTCATGTTGGTAATGCCATGGGGTCTTAGGCATGCTTGTAACTTCGGGATGCCGCTTGGGACTCCTGGTCTGTCCTTCCACAGACAGCCCAGGGATGAACCCACTGGTCCTGCTCTCACCATCCAGCTCTGATATGTACAGTACATGGGGAGTAACTGCTGCGTCTCTGTGTTCATTAAAAGACTGTTTAGGACAGAGCTGCAGAATCTGCTCTTCACTTTTCATTAGTGTTCAATATGTGCATGAATTTTGCAGCTGATGAACGCAGAGGGGCCTAAAGCCCCAGCTAGAAGCAGGGAGAGTGGGGGTGTCACTGCCCGGACTCCCTCCGCCTCTGAAAGGGACCTCAGCCTCCAACCACTCCCTCTCCCTCCCCCTGATTTCCAGAGCACTCCCCTCAGCCGTGCAGCACTCCCAGTCCTGGCTCTCCACAATTCCATGAGCCACCGTCCTAACCTGCAGCAGCCCCTTCTGCTCCAGCCCTGGGCTCCCACAGTGGCTCCCTCCTGCCCCGCAGCAGCTGTGCAATTCCAGCCCTGGGTGCCCCCATGGCTCTGCTAGTGCAATTCACTCCTGACCTGCGCCATCCATGTTGTCCCTTTGCTGGGCCCCACGTGCTCAGATCTTGCCAGCCCCCTGCAGTTCCAGCCCTGAGCTCCCCCACAGCTCTGAAAATGCCTCATCCGTAAGTCTGCACTCTCAGTGCCTGCGCACACAGACATTGTTCCTGCATCTCCCCTGGGCCGTAGCTGCAATATCAAATCCCTCACCCCACCCCCCATCACATTTACTGCCCCAGCATCCCGAGGCATCAGCATGGTGACGCAATGCAATGTGCCTCCGTGCCAGCCCCATCCACACGGCGCTCCGGCCTCGCCCTGCCGCCGCATGGCGGTAGCCACCACAGTTCTGATCTTCGCCACTAGGTGGCCTTGCAGTCACGTCTGTGGCCACAGTTCCACCGTGGAACAGGCCACAGCGGGTTGACCATTGATTTACATGGGGGTAGGCGCGGGCCTTAGGACCCTTTCACCCAGCTTGATTCACAGGTCCCAGCCCTGCCTCCAGGGCTGAGGCTGCCTGGGGCAGTGGCAGGTGGTCTGGCCATGCAAGATCCTTCTATCTCCTTCGTCCCGTACTGGCATCACTCTCCACTACAGCGTTATGAGGGCAACCTGTGGGGAGGGGCGCTGCCTGTGTGTCTCTGGGACAAAGATCAGATCAGCCCAAACAGCATGTCACTCCCCACTGAGTGCATTGCAGTGAGTGGGACCCCTCCCCACGGCTGTGGATGGGGGAGTCTCAGGAGGGGCTCCGTCCCACTCAGGGCGGAGGGAAGGAACAAGCAGCCGTGGGGAGAGGAGAGGAAAGGTTTCGCGGCCAGTCTCCTGAGGGGACTTC